TCTCACCCAGCTATCATCACTGCTCCTAGCCGTCATACATTTCTTATTATGAGGCCAACTCGTTGCCTTTTAAGTCAACTGACTGACTAGTTATCGGGTCTAATGTGTTGTATGAAAGGAAACAAAAAGATGTGTAGTTAAGATGCCTTTTAGGCATATCAAATTAAATAGTTGGCCCAAAGATTTCGTACGTACAGGAACTAGTTGATGGGCTTGTGGGAGCGGAAGAGTAAAGGAAAATCGAGAATCTGTGCTTCATAGTGGCGCAACGCGGAAGCATGGCATTGCCCCATTATTGTTCAGAGAAAATTCCTTTTTCCTTTTGTGTTCCTAAATTATCAACTCGGTCGTTGGAGGATTTTGACTTGATTTAGTCGCTGGGTGAATGCCATCTTATTTAAGTGATCGAGTCGACTACCATTACACAGATGCGAGGAGCGGAAAAACGGCATATGGAGAAGTGATGCGAATCGACAGTCGTCCCGGGGAAGATATGTTTGAGCTATCTGGCTCGGCCAGGGTCCCAACGCTTTCACACAGCCCTCATAGTTCTGAGATTGCCAAGCCTCGGGACTTTCCACAGGCAAGATGCTTCTGTTAAAACGTAGTTATATGGCGGTGAGGTGTAGGCTGATCGGTAGTGCGCGACCAGACGCCGGCGCATTGCTTATGATGGTCCTGTGGAGAAATTCTTTCAGTTAGGAGATATTTTCACTTATTTGTTTGCCGAATGTGAAGGTCAGGTTCTGATTGGTATTTGAGGGCTGATATGTCTTTGAATGAGAGTATTAAGTCTGATAGGTCCAATGGTTGCCTTAGCTGCAACCGGTGAGAATGCGATTGGTCGACAGGCGAACTGCTTGTTTATGGATTGTCTGTGGTTAAGAGGAGCAACTGGCGGAAAATAGGCCTTCTATTGTATAAGGGAACCAGGTCAGCTTAGTTAGAAAGATTTGGTTTCTGAGCCCCAGTACAAGCATGACCTTTAAATCGTCCCTCAATTCTTGATAACAGAATCCTATGCTAAAATAGAAGTTATTTTTGGAAGCAAAAAGAATGCATAAATGTACTCTGTATTGGCTTTCTCACATCTGCATATCTTTTGAGACATAATGTAGAAGTTTTCACTTTTGTTGATAAATACAGTATAGAAAAATTCCTCACCAATTTATTGCCATCCTATGTTAAAAGTTGGAATGCAATTCTTGGCCGTGGTTTTGTGGAACCTTGCTAAGGACTATTTTCATCACATCACGACCTTATGACAGTTTGCTGAGGACTTGTGCTAAAATTGTTCATTTATAATCAGAATTTAGACCACAATACAAAATATACTTAATTATCTTATAATCTAAAAGATTTCCATGTTATTTGTTAGTGTTCTTCCTTGTAGCTTATGCGACTAAAGCCGCCGAGAATTATTAATAAATAATGTATATAAAATTGAATGATACGACGGAATTATCTCATTTTAAGTACTTTAATTCTAGAATTTACAGTCGCTTTTTAGTCAAATGTATAATTTTATACCATTAGCTAACTTTTGAAGTTCTTCAGTCATGTGATATTTTTCATCCTTTCGAATGAATTAGTTCAGCAGGCTTTGAAGTTGTGTTTCAAAGAAGGACATGGACTGCCACTAAAATATTAA